ATCATCACTATTGTTATCATGAATTATATCATTATTATGATTTTTTATCATGTTTTTGTTCTTGTTGATGATGTTGTTATTGATACTATTATTATCAGCATCATTGTTATGCTGTATCATTATCATTACTTCCATTATCAATACTATTAACATAATCATCATTATTAATATCATCCTTTTATTTATCTATGTTATCATTTTAGCCATCGTTATCATCATTGTCACTGTTATCATCTCATGCTATACTTATCATCCGTTGCTCTATATAAACAGTGAAAGCTTGATAAATGTCGAGAGAATGAATATTGATATCAAACAAAATTCAGTTATGGTGTCATCATAACAACGCGTAATTTGGATGGTGAATATTTTATTTTGTCAAGTTGAATCATTCATTACCATTCCGTTATTGAATTAGTAATGGTAGTGTTAGGGATAAAGTGTTAATGGTATGGTAATTCCTTTATAGTGAATGAAGATAATTAAGGTCTTTAATTAATGATTGAGAGAAAGGAGAGGGACGATAATGATGATGATGATTCCGAAGGTAAGAAGGATCTCAAGACGGTTATGGTGATGATCAAGATTGTAGTGATGATGATGATGATAATAAGAATGATGGTAATAACAAGAATAATTGTAAAATGACAAAAAGCACTTACAAAAAAAGTGACATTACTTATAATAACGATAAGATTATATACGTTATAGCATGTTCATAATAAATATATGGTAACGTTAATAATTATGATTTTAACACAAACAACAACAGTGATGATAATGAAAAAAGGTAACACCGTTAACTAGAATAATTAGGATAGTAATGATAATAATAAAGGTGATAACGAGACCAACAGCAGCAATATTGATAATGATAATGACAATGACAATAGTAATGTAAATACTATCATTATCAGCAATGTCAATAATAACAAAAAATAAAACCAATTATAATGCCAAGGGTAATAACGCTGACACTGAATTTCCTATTACAATAACAGCAATACTACAGTGTTGGTATCATCATCAATAACAGCGATAATGAACAGAACAGCTGATAACGTCAACAATACCCACAATAATCCCGGTACAGAACCCAATCCCAGTCTGCAGTGAAGTCCCTCACCACCACCAAAACGCCTCTGCAATTTACCTGTCTGCTGCAACGTCGGAAGGTGATGAGGCTGGCTGTACGTGACGTTGTCCAGGTGGAGAGAAACATCTGTGCTCCACTCATACACGTGTACAGTGGCAGTACATCTGTGAGGGAGAAAGTGTGGGTGGACTTTGACATCTGTGTTGGAGCTTAAAGATATTCAATAGCGAGTGGGAGAGAAATTATTTTGAGTACAATCCATTTAATTACATGGACATATATACCTATACGCGGATATTCATTAAGGTACTTACATATACACACATATGAGTATTTAGATAGATATTGATAGATATAGAGTTATGGCAATTACTATAATCATGATCATAGAGATAAAAATGAGTGATAAAGATGTACATGAAAGTCATAAGGATAAAGACACTAATAAAGATAATAACATTAAAGGTTGATAACGTTAATGACTACAGCGATAACAACAAAACTATACCGTATATGATAACAAGTACCAAGTGGAATGATAGCTATAATAATCATGAAAAGGAGCAATTAAAACAAAGACAGAGACAGTAATGATGTATCCAGCGTCATCATCTCATGAGAGAATTCTCCATTTCGAAGGACAAGAAATTCCATTAGACACAGAACAGTGTCTGGCAAGGAGGAAAGGGGGTCGAGGGGTGGGGGGGTGGTGGGGGTGGGGGAAGGGGTGGGGAGGGTGGTGGGTGGATGAAGGGGTTAGGGGAAGGGAAGAAGGTGGAGGGGAGGGGGGTATGTGTCGAAAAAAGGCAATTATTCCTTAATTACCTCAGCCCAAGCTGTTACTCGGTTTAATGAGATAAGCCATACTTTCTACTTTAATTAGAACGGGAGTAAAAGCATCGTTCTGGATATACTGTACTGGCAAAAGAGAGAGAGAAAAAATCCTTTACTCAATTACCTCTCCTTCCTCTATCCCTCCCCCTCCTTCCTTCCACTATTTCCTCTTTTACACCTTTACCCCCCTTCCTCTTTTCTGCTCCTCCCCCTTCCTCCTCCCTCCTGTCCCTCCCCCTCTTCCTCCTCTTTCCTTCCTCCTTCCTCCTTCCTTCTTCACCCCCTCCCCTCCTCTCCCTTCTCCCCCCCCCTCCCCTCCTACTCTCCCCCTTCTCCTTCTTATTACCTTTTCCTCTTCTTCCTTATTCTCGGAAATGTAATTAAACGCAAACAAATAAGAACAAAAACTTTGCTTGATACAGCCCGAGAGAATTTTCAAAGTTACTTAATTATGCTAATGAATGCAGTGAAGGTAAATTGAAATGGCATTAACACTGATAATAGAATGGAGATAATAATGTTAAGTGAGAGACAATAATGGTTGAGATTAAAGATAATGATAACATTAATAATAATAATAAAGATAATAACAATAATTATAATATTAATATCAATAATAATGACAATAATGATAATAGTAATAATAATTGTGATAGTAATAATAAATGAGAATAATAATAAGAAGAAGGAGTGATAAACAAATAATAAAATAATAATAAATAATAATAATAATAATAATAATAATAATAATAATAATAGTAATAATAATAATAATAATAATAATAATAATAAATAAATTAATAATAATAATAATAATAATGATAATAATAATAATAATAATAATAATAATAATAATAACAATAATAATAATAATAAAATAATAATGATAATAATAATAATAATAATCACAATACCAAAGAGAAAAAATAACGATGATAATGATAATTACAAAACCCTCCAACCCGAAAGCAGTCAAAGAGCGCAACCCTCTCCCATAATCTTTTTAATTAAGACTTTTTTTTCTCTTTTTCCTCTCAAATCCTTTTAATCTACTCACCAAGCCCTTATCTACCCTCAATCCACAGTAAGCCGCCCTCATTAACCATTTTGCTTTCCAAAAGTCTATAAATCTTGCCACTCGGAACCACAAAGCTTCATCTAACTACCCTTATTTGCCCTAAAATATATTCATAATCATCTTATATCGGTTTGATCTTAACACGATCAGTTCATTAGCATAATGGGTTGTTTTATTCATTCTTCATCACCTAAGTCTAGTCTGTTGGTCATTTGCTAGTCGTAGTTTGGTAGTCGAGCATCTATTGATATTGAGAAAGATAATAATGATAATGATGATGATAATAATGATAAAAATGATAATGTTGATAATAATAATGATGACAATAATTATGATAACAAAAATAGTCATAATGATAACAGTTATGATAATAGTGATAATGATAATAATAAATAATAATAATGAAAATGATAATAATAATAATGATAATAATAATCAAAATGATAATGATAATAATGAAATGACAATGATAAGAATAATAACAACAATAATAATCATAATAATAATGATAATGATGATAATGATACTGACAACAATGATAATCATGATAGTAATGTTAAAGTATAATGATAATGATGAAGATAATGATAATAATAATAATAGTGATAATAATAATAGCAACAATAATAATGGCAATGATAAGAAAAGGAAGAAAAATGAAAATATCTTCATGAGTCATCGTCTCGCCATCAGAAACATAACAAATAAGATTCATTCGTTTGTCCATTTTTCCAACTTTGATTCATTCTAACAAACAAACAAAAAAAATTAACAAGTAGACGCAAAGAATCATTCGTTTGTCCATTTCTCCAACTTTGATTCATTCTAACAACAAACAAACAAACAAATAAAATTAACAAGTAGACGCAAAGAATCATTCGTTTGTCCATTTCTCCAACTTTGATTCATTCTAACAACAAACAAACAAAAAAAATAACAAGTAGACGCAAAGAATCATCGTTTGTCCATTTCTCCAACTTTGATTCATTCTAACAACAAACAACAAACAAAGAAAATTAACAAGTAGACGCAAAGAATCATTCGTTTGTCCATTTCTCCAACTTTGATTCATTCTAACAACAAACAACAAACAAACAAAGAAAATTAACAAGTAGAAGCAGTCCGAACACCACACTCGCTCCCATCACCGAAATGATAATGAGATTAAAATTTCCCTTTTCGAGCAAACGCTATCATCTTCGGCATAATGGCTTACCGCTTCCTCTATTTCAAAGTATTCTCGAAGTCCAAAGTCGAAAAATAATCTACTTAATGTACCGGGAAGATCACGGACGAAATCTGAACAGCTGGGACTGCGGCGAAAAGTACCATTGTTTTCACCATCATTTCCTGGTATTATTTGGATTATTTTTTTGTTGACGTCCTGCTCACGTACCAAGATACCGGGAGAGTGAAAGACGATTCGATGTAAAGACGATGATATGATGATAAATGATGATGATGATTATGATAATGGTGATGATCAAAGTTATAATGATGATGATTATTGATAATGGTGATGATCAAAGTTATAATGATGATGATTATGATAATGGTGATGATCAAAGTTATAATGATGATGATGATAATGGTGATACATGGTGATGATAATGGATGATGAAAGGATGATTTTATAATGATGATGATTATGATAATGGTGATGAAAATGATGATGATTATGATAATGGTGATGATCAAAGTTATAATGATGATGATTATGATAATGGTGATGATCAAAGTTATAATGATTATGATTATGATAATGGTGATGATCAAAGTTATAGTGATGATGATTATGATAATGGTGAGGATCAAAGTTATTATCATTGATGATGATAGATAATGGTGATGATCAAAGTTAATAATGATTATGATTTATGATAATTGGTGATGATTAATAGTTATAATGATGATGATATGATAACGATGATCAAAGGTTATATGATGATGATTATGATAATGGTGATGATCAAAGTTATAATGATGATGATTATGATAATAGTGATGATCAAAGTTATAATAATGATGATTCTTATGATAATGGTTGATGATCAAAAGTTATAATGATGATGATTATGATAATGGTGATGATCAAAGTGTGATAATGATGATGATTTGATAATGGTGATGATCAAAGTTATATGATGATGATTATTGATAATGGGTGATGATCAAAGTTATAATGATTGATGATTATGATAATGGTGATGATCAAAGTTATAATGATGATGATTATTGATAAATGGTGATGATCAATGAAGATATAAGATGATGATTATGATAATGGTGATGATCAAAGTTATAATGATGATTATGATAATGCTGATGATCAAGTTATAAATGATGATGATTATGATAAGATAATGGTGATAAATCAGTTATAATGATGATTATGATAATGATAATGGTGATGATCAAAGTTATTTAAAATGATGATGATTATGATAATGGTGATGATGAATTTAATGATGATGATTATGATAATGGTGATGATCAAAGTTATAATGATGATGATTGATATGATGATAAGTGGTGACATGAGATCAAGTGTTATATGATGATGATTATGATAAGGTGATGAATCAAAGTTATAATGATGATGATTATGATAAGGTGATGATCAAAAGTTATAATATGATAATGATTAGATAATGAAGATCACAAAGTTATATGATGATGATTATGATAATGGTGATGATCAAAGTTATAATGATGATGATTATGAATATGGTGATGATCAAAGTATATGATGATGATGATGGTTGGATGATCAAAGTTAATTTGGGAGTGAATTCTGATAATTCTGATTTAAATGTGATATGCATCATATGATTTATAGAAAAATGGTGATGACAAAGTTATAATGATGATGATGATTATGAATAATGGTGATAATCAAAGTTATAATGCATGATGATTATGATAATGGTGATGATAAAGTTATAATGATGGATGTGATATGATAATGGTGAATGATCAAAGTATAATGATGATCATTATATGATGAAGTTTATTGATGATAATGATTGCATGATCATATAATGATGATAATGATATTGATGATTATGATAATGTGATGATGATGATCGGTTATAATGATGAATGATATGATTTGATCAATGGTGATGATCAAGTTATATATGATGATAGATTATGATAATGGTGATGATTCAAAAGTTATAATGATGATGATATATGATAATGGTTTGATGAAACTTATGATAATGGTGAATGATTATCAATAATGGGATG